TTTGTATTTTTTATAAAAAACCCTTAATTTATTTTTTTGTGTTCTTTTAAAGGTTTTTTCCCCCCCCCCCCCGATACGAACTATTTGAGCAAACATCAAAAAGGGTCTTTTGTGTTATAGAGGTTTGGTGTATAAGTGTCCTGAGACCCTGTGGTAGTGCATTTGGGGGGTTTCTTGCATTTTTAAATCTAAATCAAACCTGTGTAATATTTTCTAAAATACCTCCATTCTATTCCAGATGAAATGCCGTGTTGTTCCCAACAACTTGCGGCTACCTTTCTCATGCCCAAAGACCGCCGTTTTAGGCCATAATATGCCTGCAAATCTAGCACTAAACTCGTCCACAGTGCATCCTCCTGGCTACCTTGTGCAATCAGGCTCCTATGGTGTGATGGCTCCCACTCTTCTTTATTCACAGCAGTGGCCTGGCATGCCTAGTCCTGTAGCGTCTGTGGTTCCTGTAGGATTGCTTGGTGCTCCAAGAGCGATTCACTACGCCACATTGTCAAACCCAGGGATCCAGCCCTACTCTTTTGTTGTGCACAACCCTGAGAATGGGCCTTTCCCGAAAACCACAAGGACTACCCGATCCGCTAATTAATGTGTTGGTGTGCGCTCAGGACAGACTGATTTCGCCTGTGCTTTGGGCACCAGAGCCACACATGTGCATAGTTTTATCCTGTAAATAACACGCTATGGTGTTGCTATTCTTTCTGCAACACATTTATGTGTCGTAAATTGTGTATTTGTATGTGTGTATATTATACATTATGTGTTATGTCTGAATACTTACTGCTTTTTGGCTTTGTTCTTAGCTAAACTCAGCCATACAAGACATTTTATCTGCACTCACGGTAACCGACTTCACTCTGTTCTTCATCACGTTTGCCTTTCTGTTGAAACACACTACATTGGAATCCAAATATTAGTAGCTTAAGATTCAGTGAGATGACAGTATTTTGAACAAATGAACAGTTTTGCAGGAATGTAGTGCCTTGAACATTTATTTATGTATATATTTTCTTTAAACAAAGCATTTCTGCATCCAAGTTATTTTATTTGAAATGGTAGCTTGAGTGTGTTTTTTGGTTTACATACAAATGCCCTTATTGTAATGCACTAATAACACAGTATATAATCTTATTTTAATAAATACGAATATGGTTTGACCTTATTTACTTATCACCCCATTGATAAATGGAATGCCATAGCAGAGAGGTGATCTGATGCTTTCAGAAACAAATGACCAACGTATGAATGATGAAGTTAGGTTAGGGGAAAGGGTAGAAGCCAGCGTCCAAATCCACTTAATCCACTTAATTCAGGTCAAATGGTTCAGCTGGGCAAAGCCTCTTTATTTATTTTTCGATTGGAGAACCAACTCATTAGACAGCACGAGAGCTTCCAGTGTTGCAGAGGAAAGCCAGTGTCCAGAGCCATATAATACTGTACATAAGTCTTTCTACAGTAGATATCTCTGGTAGTTTTGTGAATCAGAATGTAGCAAATAACGTGAATTTTTTTTTTCTTTTCTTTTGAGGCTCAAAAGTGCAATTGAACCCCTTTCCACAAAGCTTTGATCGTAGTCTTGCCACAAGCCTTACCTTTAATGTGTGCAAGAGGAGCAAGCTTGAAAGGTTGAACAAAATTACAATTCACCAAACCACAGATGTTACCAGACACAAGAATCGATATTACAAACTACCCAGTAAACAGTTTATCACAGCTTATTGTTCTGTCAGTTTGCCTAGTACTCAACATACACTGTATGTAGAATACTTTGTGCAATCACCAGTTTAATCTGAGGTCTTAAGTTGTTGTTTTTTTTTTTTCCTTTTTTTAATGCTGCTATTTATCAAAGTGATTTTTGCTGTACAGTTAAGCGTTTCTTTCTTGTTTGATGGTACAAAGCAGATGCTCATAAAGCAGTGTTATAGCCTTGTTAAAGGACTGGTGTTTTGTTTATTTTTGATGACAGCTGATTTAATTTTGCCTTTTTGCATTTATTTTCAGTGACATATTGCAGCATTAAACTGAAACTTGATGTCAGAGATTTGCACAACATATGGTCTCCTTTTATTCATCTACATGAGGAGTTCCTACACTGTATATATTTGGTGGGGTTTCATCACTGACGAGCATGGCCAATATTTCATCTTTCCACAAAACGTAGAAACAGTACAGATATAAGGTTAGAAATATGACATCTGCACAACCCCAGTCCTGCCAAAGCTGTGAATCGTAAAGTTTTCTTCTAGTAGCTCGTATTTGTACATTTTATTTTGACTCTTAAAAGTGGTGGGGCGTGGTTGGGGGTGGGAGGGTTGCTTTAATGTATATTAACTCCATCAATTCGGTTTGAATTGGATTTTTCTAAGATATTATGCAGAGTCTTCTGCTTTGGTGAAATACTTCCAATAGTAAGAGATTTCTGTTCTCTGTCACGTGTATCTTGTATGTTCTACTTTTCCTAGCTGCTAACTCATGGAGATCATGGGAGGAGGTAACCAATACCGGTATATATGATAAACTGGGGTAGTTGAACGTGCACAGAGGAGAAGGAGCATCCTGACGCTTTTTCCTCGGCACATCTCTCTTTTGTCTGGGAGAAACTGCTCCTCAAGATTATGCTCCAGTTGTGACTGGCCTGTGTTTGAACTGTGTGAGATTGCTTTGCCTGCTGTATGTCCCATTGCATTACCCCACCCTGTCCTGATGCACTCTTATCACAGACTGTATGTTGAGAGAGAAATAAATATTTTGTGCTTGATTAATTGTCTTTATTTCCACATGCAAAACCTGGACAGTAAAACAAACTGAGATATTTGACATTTAGTGTGGTTAAAAGCTAGAAAATTTTTTTTGGTTTGTATATTTGTGTAGTTGAGCTGCATAACATTAGGAAAACATGCATTATGCAATAATAAGACAAATAAGCCAGGAAATTGAATGATGTTTATAGCAAAGACTCCAGATAACAAGTTGTTTATGTAGCTACTGGGTGGAAATTCTGTTCCAATCTACAAGGTTTTGTTGCAAAAAGGTGAATCGAACCAGATATTATTACAACAAACAGACATTTTGTTATAATTATTGACTTTTTTTTTATAATTACTCGTTGCCATCACCTTATTTTTTTATTTTCCTTCACAGAAGACCTTAAATGAAATACCACTCCAAAACAATAACAGTAATTGCACTCAGAAGAAATGCACTTAAAATAAAAAAGATTACTTTAAATCTGAATCTTCCAACTAGTTTACTTGTTTCCCTGTCTTGCAGACATGTTTAGGTACTCTTCTACCTAAAAGGAAAACGCCTTGGGAATTTACTGGCTGAAATAGTACCAATATCCGCAATGACATGAGTACCAACAAGGGCTGAAAGAAGCCATTAATCCAAACCAGATTAGTTTGCACATGGAGTCTGCATATTTTATCCAGGGACTCCACCTTCCTCCCAAAGTCTAAAAACATGGCTATTAATTTAATTGGCATTTCTCAATTGCCCTAGGATACAGTATGTGTATTCACGGTTGCTTGTTCTGTGAGCAAATGGCAACCTGTTTAAGAGTACCCCACCTCTCACCCAATGGCCGATGGTAACATGTACCAGCCCCCGTGCGACCCTGTAAAAAAAATCACTAGTTATAGAAAATAGATTACACATATATCAGTTATGTGAGCAGGAATGGACGGTGCAAAGATAGACTTATTAAGCAGCAAAGGTAGCTCATTACTATGTGTGTGCAAACTATTTTGATTCTATCAACCAATCACGAAACGCATTCCAATTCCTCCGACCAATCACAGAAGAAACCTCCGCCCATTGCGTCCCTATGTCTCGTCCAATGTAAAATCGTTCTGGTTTGCGTAGTGAATGTGTCAACCCGCGTCTACGGCGAAGCAGCGTTACAGCTATGGTTGTCCTCCCCTTTTGTTCATCAGAGTTCCTCCATTATTGCACAAACAATGAAACTATCTGGATGTTATGCCGTTTCATGAAACATTTTACTGCATGTACGCCTTCCACGCTCTCCTCTGGGATTATCTAATGAATTAAAAGCGACCTGCAACCCTCCTGACCTGCTGTGAGGTGTCCGAAGCACGCAGTATTTCCTGAAGAACGTGGAGTAGTAAGTGTTGAAAATAAAGTATCAGTCTGGAAGTGTTGTGTTGGTGTTTAAGGGTTACTTTTGGTCACATTTTCACGGTCAGAAACTTGCTGAAGTTGTGATCCTGTGCTAATTATTGTAATCCATCATAACCCACTGTGCCCTGAAAAGACAGTGACGCGGGTAGCTCCCCTTATTATGCAAAATAAGCACGCCAGCCTTTTTTCTACATCACAATACCAAAGCATATTAATGCCGAAATAAAAATCTCACATGAATGAAGTTGTGGCGCTTGGTAAGATTCGGCATTGGACCCAACCACACTTACTGTTGCAGTTCGCTAACTTCATGAAATCGAACGTTTGCTGTTATTTTCTGGAATCCACAGGGTGAGGTGATTATGGAGGGAAACGCTGGGTCTGAATGTTTACAACGAGAACAGTTCAGACTCTGTTCTTGGATTTAGTCCTTACTATTTCTTACCGAAACGGTCTGGAACGGCTGTGGAACGGCTACCTTTGTTTAGCTAACATTTATTCCGTGAGTTTAGCTAACGCACGAGCCTTAAACGTTACCAACGGGAATAAGGTATTGAGCTAAAGTTTAAACGGCTTTTTAATGTCTGGATTGTTTGTTTGTAAAGGCTGTAAAGTATTTATTCCTCTGCTCCTTTGGAAGTTTGTAGAAATCGTGGTTTGCTAACTGTTGTTAGCAGGTTGGCTAAAGCCCCCTGCTACTGTAGTTCATTGTTGGAGAGAAGCAACACCAGAATGCTAATGTTAGCATGCATTTAGATGGTTGTGTTGCCGAGTTACTGTATATTTCGCGGTGTACAATTGAATTAAGTTGATTTTTAAGTTTTTTCCCCCTAGCCAAACCGAAGCTCATGTCCTAATTCACAGTCAGACGTTTTCCTGATTGTTTTATTGCTTAAACGTTTTATTTGTTGACCTGAATGGCACCTGTCACCGGGTAAAAGGGAAACATAAGTTGTTTCCCTGTTGGAGTGTTTACATTTTTAGAGGGTTATTTCCTGGTCATGTGACAGCAGTATAGATTAATTATTAGATTGTATTTGATGGTATTCATGTATGTTACATACTGTAAAGAAAATTACAAAATAGCAAAATGGGGAAGCTTCATTTTTTAGCATTACTATAAACCTCTATGTTTCCATGGTAACTGGAGCCTATTCCAGCTGTCAGTGGGCTCTAGATCAGATCATCTGTGCATCACAGACCCAACCCGAGTTAATTCTGACAACTCATGTAATTTCTATCCTAATCGCTTGACTAAAATGGGATTTTTTTACAGTCACAGTGTGATCAGTTGTAGTCATTTCAGTTTTAGTCAACCAAACATTACTACATATTAATTGACTAAAGGTACTGTAAATTTAGTTGACTGAATTAAGTAGTCATAGAGAAATGTATTTTTTAGGCCCTAGTGTCTTTGAGGGTTATAATTCCCTTACATCAACGTTACACCTATTGATCTGAGAATGCACCCGAGTTAGATTTATATTTTTTAATACACAAACATGCATACGAAGATCAAGTTTCTAATTGCTGTTCCACGCTATATTTCCACTACATCATAATGCTTGATTAAAATAGTTTTTGTCATAAAAAAATATAGACATTTGTTGCCAAAAAAATTGCATCAGTTTTTGTTAACAGAATATACACAACACAGTGGTTCATGATGATAATGGAAACAATGGAAAAGATTGAGGAAAACAATATCAGCCAATTACAACCCAACCCATTGCTCATATTGATATTGTGCAGCCTTATATTCCATTTATTTTGAAGTCATAGTTTCCATTTGTGTTTTTTTTTCTTTCTTCAGATGTAAAGCTGAACTTCAGTTGCCCCTGAAGAGGTTGTTGGCACCATGGGACTAGATTTTGATGTGAAGACATTCTGTCATAATCTTCGGGCCACAAAGCCGCCGTATGAGTGTCCAGTGGAGACTTGTCGTAAGGTTTACAAGAGTTACAGCGGCATAGAGTATCACCTCTACCACTATGACCATGACAACCCAACTCCTGCTCCCGCTGTGCCCCAGAAGAAGAGGAAGGGCCGCCCTCCTCGTGCCTCGCTGACCGCCTCGGGGGACCCGGACGACATTGGAGGCAGCGGAGGTGGAGGACCTAGTCCTGAAGGAAACGCACCTGGGAGCCCCAACCGGTCAGACCATTCTCACTCCCCTGGCAGGGAGACGATGACCTACGCTCAGGCGCAGCGCATGGTGGAGCTGGAGATTCAGGGACGCATTCACCGCATCAGTATCTTTGAGAACATTGATGTGGTGTCCGAGGAAGACAGCGATGCCGAGGACGCACCGCCGTCCGGCGCAGGCAGTTTTGGAGGAGGGGTTTGTAACGGCAGTGACAGTGGGGCTGGAGGCAGTGAAGTCGGAGGAAGCGGGAAGGACCGCTCTGATATCCCGTCCTCTAACGGCGGTAAAGCCACGCCAAAGACCGGCAAGCACAAAAGTAAAGATAAGAAGAAGGACGGTTCGTCTCACCATCACAACCCGCAGTCCGGTCTTGCTGTCAAGCTTCCAGAAGCAGTGTTTAGAGAACTGGACCAAGAAAGACCTGACGCCCCTGCTCGGACTTTATCCTACTACAGGTGTGCAACTAGGATTGTAATTTGATTCATTAATATTTAAATGGCTTAGGTAGGTTAGTTTTTTTTCACTGTCTAAAAATAAAATTAGACTTAACTTTTCACTTTTAGTTAGGTTTCCTCAAAAGAATTCAGTTTATCAAATGTCAGAATAATGAGGGTGACTTTAAATCTTTTATGGAATTCAGATGTTTAAATACATTTCCTTAATATTTGGCAGAACTGCCTTTTGATCCATGTAGTTTATGTGATATATCCATTTGTGACCAAGCTGATGTCTTGAGATGCTGCTTCACTCTTCTAGAAAACGCTTTTTCTTCACGATCCCATCTATTATGTGAAGTGTGCTAGTTCCTACTGCAGCAAAGTGCCCCCACAACGTGATGCTGGCACCGCCTTACACCCACATGTGGAGGGCTGTGGGCTTGCGAGCACTGTGATCATTATGACCAAACACTACAAGTAACTTTTGTAATCATTTTAGTAATCCTAACTGGCCTAAAATAGCAAAAGTTTAGTCTGATTTCACGTAAGTGAAGAAAAACAAGTTATGGGTTTGTTTTTTTTAATACAACGTGTTTAAATATTTAGTAATTCCATTTAGAAGCTTTAAACGTTTTGTGATAGATTTTTCTTTCTGCCCACATTTCCTCCTCTGTCTGCCTCCGGGCTTCAGGTACATTGAGAAGTCTGTGGAAGAGCTTGACGAAGAGGTTGAGTACGACATGGACGAGGAGGACTACATCTGGCTCGGCATCATGAACGACAAACGGCGACGTGACGGAGTGACGCCGATCCCTCAGGAGGTCTTTGAATACCTCATGGACCGCTTAGAAAAGGAGTCCTACTTTGAGAGCCACAACAAGGTACCCGAACTCGCATGCTAAAGACATTACAGGCATTCACCTGCGAATTTGAACTCTGACCCGTTCTGTTTGCTCGTCCCCCCCAGGCGGACCCCAGTACGTTGATCGACGAGGACGCCGTCTGCTGCATCTGCAATGACGGCGAGTGTCAGAACAGCAACGTCATCCTGTTCTGTGACATGTGCAACCTGGCGGTTCACCAGGAATGCTACGGCGTTCCCTACATCCCAGAGGGTCAGTGGTTGTGTCGGCGCTGCCTGCAGTCGCCGAGCAGAGCGGTGGACTGTGCTCTGTGTCCTAATAAGGGCGGGGCCTTCAAACAGACGGATGACGGGCGCTGGGCTCATGTAGTCTGTGCGCTTTGGATCCCGGAGGTGAAGCGATTTTTAATTTTTTTAATTTATTTATTTATTTATTTTTTTTTGCAAATCAACTGCAGAGATTTTGATTGGTTTCTCATGTTGCCCCAATAATAAAAAATGTTTTTCTCCCATTTCCTAGGTCTGCTTTGCAAACACGGTCTTTCTGGAGCCGATCGACAGCATCGAGCACATCCCTGCCGCCCGCTGGAAGCTCACCTGCTACATCTGCAAGCAGCGTGGCTCAGGCGCCTGCATCCAGTGCCACAAAGCCAACTGTTACACGGCCTTCCACGTCACCTGTGCCCAGCAGGCAGGCCTCTACATGAAGATGGAGCCGGTCAGAGAAACGGGGGCTAACGGCACGTCGTTCAGCGTGCGCAAGACGGCGTACTGCGACATCCACACGCCGCCGGGGTCGGCCAGGCCTCTCGCCGGAGTGGGCGGGGCCAGCATGGGCTCGTCCAACAGCGAAGGGGAGCTGGAGGACGACGACGAGCCCAGCCTCGGCCAGGACGAGGACTCCAAGGGCTGGAGCTCTGAGCGGGCCAAGAGGGCGAAGGCCAAATCCAGGCTGAAGATGAAGAGAGCGAGGAAGATCCTGGCAGAGAGGAGAGCTGCTGCACCAGTGGTGTCTGTGCCCTGCATACCTCCCCACAGGTAGATGTGCAGTTCACCTGCTCAGGCAGAACTATATTTGTCACTGTATATTCTGTCTTACAAAAGTTTACTTATGTTTTTTTTTGTTTTTTTTTTTACATTTTTTCAAATTAAAACCACAAAGTTTCAACTTATTTTAATGGGATTTTATGAGATAGACCAGAGGTCAGCAACCTTCACAACCCTAAGAGTTGGTGAGAAGATTGAAGGAGCTAAAAACAGGAGGAAGTCTGCAAAAATAACTTAGGCCATGGCGGAAGTTTACCTTCTCCCAGAACAGCAGTGGTTTAGATCAAATCACAGAGAAGAATAAGCAAAAAATCTCAGATTTACAAATCTGGTTGAGGCGTATGCCCATGAAACTACTTTAACAAGTTTATTCGATTAAAGCATTCATCCGGAGGAGCCGACTACAGATGTCACGCTTTTCATTTTGTTTCATTTTAATTTCTATAGGAAAATGGAAATCATCTTTCATTTTCCTTCCACTTCACAGTGAAGCGCTCTTTTGTGTCGGTTTGCAACAAAAACTCCCAGTAAAGTGTTTGCGGTGGTAACGTCACAAACCGATAAAGTTCAAGGGAGCGTGAATACTCCTGTGTGACGCTGCAAATTAGTGTTTGCTTCTCTGCAGACTCAGCAAAATCACAAGTAATCTGACGGTGCCCAGGAAGAGTCAGTTCATGCAGCGACTCCACAGCTACTGGACGCTGAAGAGGCAAAGTCGAAACGGCGTTCCTCTTCTGCGGCGGCTCCAGACCCACCTGCCATCTCAGCGCCACGTGGAGCCGCATCCACCGCAGCCCGCAGCGCAGCTTCCCCCTGTAAACATGTCCACCTCTTGCTATTTGTTTGGGGCGGGGGGTTGTCCCATTAACTAAAATGAACACGGTTTTTGTTATTTGTTTAACGTTTTCTATCACATTTGTGGTTCAGAGGGACAGCGAGGAGAAACAGACAGCCTTGAAGGAGCAGCTGAAGGCCTGGCAGAGACTGAGACATGACCTGGAGAGAGCCAGGCTGCTGGTGGAGCTCATCCGCAAGAGGGAGAAGCTCAAGAGGGAGACGGTGAGGCTCAGAACGGATATTTTTTTTTACACTATTGTGATAATAAAAGTGTGTATGCACGAATGTCGGTTTATCCGCTGCAGCTGACAGGTGTACAACTGTGCCTGTTTAGATTAAAGTGCAGCAGATGGCGCTGGAGATGCAGCTCACTCCCTTCCTGGTGCTTCTCAGGAGTACGTTGGAGCAGTTACAGGAAAGAGACACAAACAACTTTTTCACTGAGCCTGTTCCCCTCGAAGAGGTAAATGTGCTGACAGAAAAACAAACAAACAAAAAAAAAAAACCATTCAAAGTTTTCCCTCTTTATTTGCACATATAAAATTAGACCATGCTGCTGCATTGATATTGGTTTAAAGTTGCAAGCGCAGAGGTTAGAACTGCACGTCTAAATGATGCTGGTGGAGACTTTTCCATCAGGCTGTTCCTCAGTCCGAGCCTTTCCCTCCGTTCAACAGGTGCCGGACTACCTGGAGCACATTGACACTCCTATGGACTTCCAGACCATGTGGAACCTGCTGGAGTCCCATCGCTACCTCACGTTCGAGGCCTTCGAGGCCGACTTTGGCCTCATTGTCAACAACTGCCTCAAGTACAACGCCAAGGACACGGTGTTTTACCGAGCCGCCCTGCGGCTCAGGGAGATGGGCGCCGTCGTCCTCAGAGCGGCCAGGCGCCAGGCCGAACGGATCGGCTTCGATTATGAGTCGGGCATGCATCTTCATCGAGACTCGAGCCCAGAAAGCCAACGTGATCCGGAGAGAGACAGAGACCGAGACCGAGAGCGGGACAGGGAACAGGACAGAGACAGACCTTTGTCCTCTAATGAAGAGGGTAAGCTCCCAGCTTTTGCTTTGATTGCTTGGCTTATTGTGATCAGGAGAAGTGGCAAAGCGCTGAATATTTAAAGAAGACATGCCTTTCTTATAGATCTATTATTGTCTTGTGAATAGATTTTTTTTAAAAATTCTTATTCATGAAAATATATATGTTATATAATATATACTTCATTTAAAAGTTTTTTGCTTGTCATAAAATAAAGCTAAACGGTTCAGATGAAGATATTGTTCACGTAGCTGAGAGAAATGTCCAGCAGATGGCGCCTCTGTCATTGCTGTGCTGAATTTCACTGGTTCGAAAACATTAAAGGACCTGGGCTATCGACACCGCTTCTGTTCTCCACATGAACGTCATCAACAGCATTTTCTATTAACAAGTGTGTTCAATTGCAATTAGAGACGATTCACATGACGGCTCTAGTCCTATGCTGTTGAACCTGAGCGTTTTCTTGCCCGTTTGGTGGACGAGCTGTAAGTGTTGCTCTCCCTGCCCCTCCCAGACCTGCTGCTGCCAGAAAACAGGCGACGGCTGCCGCTGGACGAGCAGCTGCATTACCTGCAGGCGCGCCTTGATGAGGTCAACTCCGGGAAGCACAGCATCGGCCAGTCTCGCAGGGCCAAAGCCCTGAAGAAGGAGATCAGTGTGATCCGGAGGAAGCTAGCGCACCAGCGGGAGGTGAGCTCCATCATGGGGGGCCGTGAGTCGGCGGGGGATCGCAGTTCTTCTCTCCCGCATCACTCTTCATCTGCGGGACACCATGACGAGGGAGGAGAGAGCAGCAGCCAGGAGATTGGAGGAAAGGGTATGTCTATAGGAATGTTGAAATATTAATATGACGTGTAGTGCGATTCTCCTGACAAAATGTTTATTTTCATCTTTTGCCATTTTTATCTCGCGTTTTATCTTCCACAGCTCCCGAGGTTGGCCGGCGGACTTCTGTGCTTTTCTCCAAGAAGAACCAAAAAATGGCCGGACCTCCCAAAAGACCAGGGCGCCCGCCAAAGAACCGAGACATGGGCTACGCCGGGCCAGGGGTGAACCAGAGCCCCATCGGGCCCCCGCAGCTGCCCCTGCTGTCCAGCAGCAGGCCCAGGAAGAGACCCCGCACCCCGCACAGCACCTCCAGCTCCGACAGCGACAGCGACAACGATGACCTCCTGCCAGGTGCGGTGCACCGTGGCCGCCACTGCGCCTTTAATCATGTGACAGTTCCTGCGTCACAGAGTGACTCACTGCCTCCGTGTGTTACCCTCAGGTTTACCGAGCAACGGCTTTGATACAGGAAACCAGCCTGTGACTGAAAGCTTCCGTGTGTACAGAAACGAGCCCCGTCTGCCTCGATCCAGCTCCGACTCAGAGTCCACAACCAGCAGCAGCAGCAGCGCCGCTTCTGACAGGACCAGGTGATTGATGCGCGAGCGCTTCTGATCTAAAGTACCCACAATCCCATGTGTTGCTGTTGGTTCATGAACAACAGCATAGAAAGTGAAAACCAAAACCACAAATCGTATAGTGTTTTCTTCTCAAAAAAAAAAAAGAAGAAAACGCTAGCAGAGCCTTTCATTGAAAGGCTCATTGAAGAAAGGCTCTGTTAGGTTTAGTTTTGAGTTTTGACGGGCGTGCTTTTCCTGCATTTTCCTCCCCCAGCACTACGCCCTCAAAGCAAGGCAGAGGAAAGGCGTCGTTCTCTCGTTCCACCTTCCATGAGGACAGCAGTGAGGAAACATCGGGCACAGAAAATGATTCCTACTCAGTTGGAGGATCACGGAGCGTTTCGCACTGTAAGCACATGCTCACACACACGCTGTGAAACCCTGCAAAGCGCACATGAAGGTGTTAAACGTTTCAAACGTTGTTTCAGTTCATTTCCTTTGAGAGTCAGATTACTGTAAGACTTGATGGAGACATTAGTCTGAGTCTTGATCAAATTTCTAATTTAATTATTCTAAACCTAAACTAGTATTTTGCTTTAGAGTTTAATGCTTCACCACCAGTAGAGTACTTGCATAATTGGCCTGCATTTGAGTTTCCCCATCTCTTCACCTCTACCCTCAAATAAAATCCTTTTGAACTCACCTATTGGTGAATAAAGTGATCCTGTATGTAGTTACCTTCTGTATAAGTGGAGCTGATCTAGGAAGGACTCGGGTTGATTCGAGAACACCTTGGACACTGGTAGTTTATAAAAACCAACACTAAAAGGCCATCGCTGGCAGAAGACGATTCACTCTTCTCAACAGACTTGTAGATGATCTGCAGTATCTTGCTGCAAGCACAGATTCTTGAAGAAATGAAGTCTGCTCTGCCCTTCCTTCCAGACATCTATGCTGTTTCATCTTCAGTCTGGTTGTGCGCTTTGACTTGAAAATTCCTGTTCAGTCTGACTGAGGTCAAGCTGTTTTGCAAATAAAAATGTTAAAAAATGTTAGAAATCATTTATTATTTTCCTACTGCTGTCACATAAAATCCCAAGTTCAAGGGATATTCATACTTTTACCAGGAATGTGACCACAAAGTTTTATTCTGCTCTAATCTAAGAGTAGCAATAAAAAAAAGAAAAAAAAAAGTTCTGGCTCTTTTTAATCAAATAATCAAAACTAGTTGGTTCATATCTAAACCTGGGGATTTCTGCAGTGATGATTTTTTTTTTTTTTTTTAAAGCAGGAAACGGTTTAACGGCAAGAGTCAACCTGTCTTATTTAGTTTCCTTGGGCTAAAGAAGTGTTGGGTGTACAGGAAACAAGACTTAACATCTTGTTCCTGTTTTTGATTGCTACATGGAAGTATGGCACCTGCTGCAGTTGTTGCCTGAATGAAGGAAACGTAACATGCTCCACCAAAAAGCAAGACACTTTTCTCACCTTGAGAAACACTGAATTGTGCCGCTTCCAAAAAAAATAAACATTTTTTATCTGGTTTACATAACTTTTTTAATCCGTGTTATTGCTGCACATTTCACAATGAGAAGGTGATTCACTCCTTTTGAACAGAAAGTACTCGTTTTATAGTAAACGCTGAAGACAATGAGATAACATATGAGCTCATTGTACTGAGAAAATAAAAATGGCGTAACGCTGGCTTTTCTTGCTGCCGTCAGTGGTGCGTGGCCGGGACCGGTCAGGATGCTGGATGACGTCTGACGACTACTCTTCTCTGGAAGCTCTGGATCTGGTCTGGGCCAAGTGCAGAGGCTATCCTTCGTATCCTGCTCTGGTGAGATAGAAAAATTGTGCTAACCCTGAGAACTGCATCAAAGCAACCTGACTTCACCCGTCTATAGTGAATGTACGTTTAATCGTCATCCACGCCACTGTTCACCTGCAGATCATCGACCCAAAGATGCCCAGGGAGGGCGTGTTCCACCGCGGAGTCCCAATACCCGTACCGCCTTTAGACGTGCTTAAACTCGGGGAGCAAATGACCCAAGAAGCCCGGGAGCACCTGTTCCTCGTCCTCTTCTTCGACAACAAAAGAACCTGGTCAGTGTTCTGAATCCAGCAGTTTCAAACGTTGCGCTGACATTTGCAACCTTCCATCTTATAAGGGTCAAACTTTGTTTTGCAAGCGAATCAGGCCTGGTTGTGACTGGGCGTAGAATCGTGCATGACTCTGCTGCAGAAACTTCAAAGCGGCGCTGCAGCGCTCGCGCTGCGAAGCATGAGCCGACGGAACGCGTAGCAGATATAGGCCAAACGTGGTTTTTGAGAATACAAGGCAAGGGAAAGAGCACCTGCTCTTCTAGGTCATCGTGTACACTGCTTTAATTCATGAGGAAAAACGAAGCGTGAGAAGGGTGACGGCTTCGTGCGCTGAAATCCTTCCTCGTTCTCATCTTAAAAGCTTAGCTGAAGTTCTTCCAGGTCACGCTCTGCAAAGAATCAGGAAGTCTGCTGAGGGAGACAAAGACCCCTTTTGTTTGAAAAGGCATTTTAATTACACTAATATTGATTCTAGCACAATATACTAATTTATGCACGTACATCTGCATCTCAATAGAAATGCTCATTTATTTCAGTATTGAGACAGTAAAAATGAAACTCGTAGTCAATTTAGTGCGCTCAGAATGACATATGCAGCTTTTATTTCTGTTCATTTTGATGGCTTAGAGCTAAGAAATTCTGAATTTCAGTTTTTCTGAAACCCCAGAATATTTTGTCACGATGGGGTTGTTATTATGAAATTGTCAGCTTCTTGACTAAAATATGCCCATGCAACAAACAATACTTGGTCAAGTCTCCTTCTACATGAATTACTGTATCAGTGCTACATGAGCTTTGGCAGTGTGGGCAGCTACGTCCTATTAGAACATGAAGTTGGTATCTCTAGCATGAAATGCTCTAAAATATCAAATGTTTTAATATGAGCCTTGATGAAACTCAGTGAAACAACATCAGCAGCAACTTCACACTTTACCTTTTGAACCACAGAGCAACAGTCAATCCATCCAACCATTTGCTTCTAAATCACTCCTTTTAGACCTTCTGTTGATTTTTCCATCCTTTCCTCTTTCAGCTGGTGATTTTTTTGCAGGTTCCATATGTAAAGGTGGTCCACTATAAATGTATTTGTCATAAATTTACTGGAAAGTATTTGATGTGCGCTTTAGAAATGTATGTTTAAAAATGTATGGAATTTAGAAATGAAAAATTATCTAGAACCCAATTTACAATTATCTCCTTCTTGCTAGAGCACATTTTGAAACTCGGTTTGTCCCTTCCTCTCTGAACTTTGTCAGGTATTTTTAATGACTTTGCTGAGCTGCAATAAATAAATAAATAAATATTTTTTCATTACTATTATTTGTTTTTGAAAACCGCTATTTTTTACCTTTCACTTTTTGGATTTCCCTCCTTGTGGCGCGAATGTGAAATCATAAAATAACATTTCTGGATTAAAAAAACCCATCCTTTCTTCTTGCCATACCTGATTTATTTTGTGAAAGTAAATTTGGGAACTGTTATTAACTATTAGTTATAAAACAAATAAATACTTGAAAAATATCTCTTGTTTAATGAACAAGTTTCATTTAAAAACAATATAAATGAATGACATTTTTTAAAACTGATTTTTCAGTTGGATTGAGATGCACCTGTGTGTTTGTGTGTTTCGCAGGCAGTGGCTGCCACGATCCAAGCTGGTGCCGCTTGGTGTGGACCAAGAACTTGACAAGGAGAAGATGCTTGAGGGCAGGAAATCCAACATTCGTAAATCCGTTTCGGTGGCCTACAGTCGTGCCATGCAACACCGCAGCAAAGTCCAGGGAGACCCCAGCAGCGAAACCAGCGACAGTGACTGATTGCAAACAGACACGCAGTCTAAATCTGCAAAACTTGTGGATTTCATGCATCCATTAAGGGAGCACAGCCCTTTGTCACGGATTACAAAGACAACAAAGCAAGCAGGAAAATTAGTAGGAAGGAAAAACTCCACTACTTTGGCCCCAAAACACATTCACTCACACTAAGCCATATTTAATCAGACATGTAAAGAAAAAAAAAACAAAAAATATTGTATTTAAGAAGATTAAAAATAAGGATATTGCTAATAATGATGATGAAAAAGAAAATGTTCCAAATCATGAATCAAAATGTTTAATGTACGTGGTCTGTATATGTTTAAAACAAAAGTGAAATAATGGTTTACAGACTTAAAATGTAGGTATAATATCACACTATGGTCCATACACAGTTCTGCCTCCCCCCTGTCCTTTCTTCACATTCAGTCACACAGGTAATCTTACACTCAAACAGGTAAATGCATGTTCTATGTGTAGAGTAAATATACACACACCTCACCTTCCAAAGGACAAAAGCATACCTGTGTGTGTGTGTGTGGAGTCGCAGGAGCAGAAGAAGGGACTGTTGCAGCCTGTTTGTAGGCAAATCAACGTTACTGTAATTTATTCTTTGAACTTTTTGTTTGTCACTCCAGCAGCTGCACATCTCAAGGTCTTTTTTTTTTTTTTTACAGATTTGTAAACAAGTTTTCCTGTCACATTGACCTGTAGAATCAGTCAATAATGAGGACTAAACTGAAACATGATCGTCTCCATGTCTCTTAGTCACAGGCCGACGGCTGTAGAACTTTTATATAACACAGATTGCATAAAAAAAATACAAGTTTAATAAATAAAAAAAAAAGAATAATGTTCTTTTTTTAAATTTGGGTCTTGTGTCGTGGTTACTGTTACTGCTACCTCTGATTCCTCCTACATAAGAAAGAGAGCATTGTGTGGACCATTTGTTTTTCTTTAGTGGAAGGGTGAGTCAGTAATTTATTGGACTTTCACATCCTTATATAGGTTTCTATTGAGGGTGCCGTATTCGACATGATCACACAGGCTTTAAAGGGACCATGATAATCTTTCCCATCTCAGGGAACGATTACCTAAGACGGAAACCTTTTTCATTTCTATCAAAGGCCTTTACGGTTTATGACCTGAAATCTGATGCCCTGTGGTTGGCTAATGCTGTACCCAGCCTTCAATCTGGCATGTAAAGAGACTCAAACATGTTCAACTCTGCTAAACCGCTTTTAACCTAATATGACCCAGACAAATTTAAAGGTTTGTCCAAGCATATGTGACAATGTCCTTACTGTGGCTCTGCAAATGTTTTTGCTTTTACGCACAGTTGAAACCAGATACTTGTATTCACTGTACACAAAGACACACCTTCTTTTCCTGACTATCTGACTAAATTTGACAGCTTTGATCAGGTAAGGAATACAAAAACAATTTCTGGTTACTAAATGTCAAAATGTTGAGAGACCTTATGTTGCCTACGTTCTCATTTCCCTCCAATCGCAAAGTTCTCATACAAAAGATTATACAAAGTTTTCATACAAGATTATACAAAAGATTACAATGCCTTAGCATGTCATCTGAGAGGTTCATTTGCAACATTTGAGTTTACGGAAAGCATGTCTGGGTGTACGTTAAGGCAACACCTAGAACATGCTGCTTCCTGGTGTGACCTTATGGAAAAACTAGATGTCAAGCATGATATGAAGAAGACAATTGTGAACCTCCAAAAGCCTGCTTCCTCCTTGTGTTCAATTCATCAGTCTTGACAAGTATAAACAGTATTGCAACTTTATGAAGGGAGATCAATAAGTCGAAATGTAGGAGCAACATCTCATGACATCGTCTTGGGTGCAGATATGTCTTCAATATGAAGGGCAATCCCAATTTCTCTTCTGAATTGGTTATGAAAACAACGAAGTCGATGTTTCTGAGTGGAAGCTGCACAGTTTAAAAGGAACTTCTGCCAAATACTAATGGAATACTAATGGAATACATTAGTATTCCATTAGTATAATGTAAACTAAATAAAAAGTGCATTATTCTGGAATTTAGCAAATACAAATGTGAAAGTCTGGTTTAATGTCAGGCAGTGAAGGAAAAAAAAGTGGTTATTTGTCTTTATACAGTGTGTAAACATTTGGCTTCAATTGTCTTTTAACAAAAGAAATCTGGATTTTCTTGTCAGGGCACTTTAAGAAAACAATGTCCCATTATGGCATCTTTAAATCACTCACAGTCCAATGAAGGGTTGTTGCAGGTTGGTGCAATGTGAGAATATGTTGAAATCCATGTTGAAACATGCTAAGGCATTGTACTTGAAAGAGTTAAAATAACCTCACTGCTGCATTTGGTTTTGGATTCATGCTTCGTGACTTTCAGTGACTGAACACCTATTTAAAACAACCAGTCCGTATGTCTACTCGCCTTCTCTGATGCAATACAATCTCAAGTGGTTGCGATGACAAAGATTTCGTGCAAACGCACGCTCCTCAAAGCCGAGGCTTTTTCATAAGATTTTCCGCAAATGATAGCGATCCCCCGCCCCAAAGGAGAACCCTCACGCCACAGATTCTGCCTTTAGATGAGCAAGTGTGATCAGACCCCAATGATCAGTTAAAGCCTCTCAGTTTGTTTTGTGACACTCAGAAG